ACAATTTATAACATTGGGATGTAATAATTGGATGACTCTATTTTTGTTTATCTTTAGTAGATTGTTACATTTATTAGTATCTTTAATTTTGTTTGTTTTGGCAGTTTTTATGTTTTTCTTACTATTTTTAATAATAAGCCTTTGGTTTTTTTAATGCCACGGTTCTTTCCAAAGGTGGTCTTTTGTGTGAATCAGGTGACTTTTCCCGAGGATGGATAGTGTGACAACTTTCTTTAGGGAATGAGTCTCTTTCATGTTTAGGTAACAGTAGTAGTAAGTAGCAATGAATAAATACCCTAATTAAGTCAATCTATAAGAGTTATTTATGCTTCATGTGAAACCAACATATTTAACTGCATGCTTATGGTTTGAAATAAGATATTTTGGAAGAATTAGCTCTAGTAGAAGTGACTTTGAGGTTCTTGAGCTATCTTTGATACTCATTAGGTGGTTAAAATGACCATTGTGATCTTTTACTTGATTGTGATTGCTGTGGGTTTTAGACTCTTTCCTCTTTTAAGGTCTGGTTGCATGAGATGTGAGACGAAATCTTGTTGCTAGTCCGAGTACTTGAGTAAATAGTCTAGAACTTGCCCCGAATGTATTTCAATGCAAAATTCTAAGTTTGCTTGGTTTAAAAAATAATTGTAGGCTTTCCTTGGACCGTTTGAGCTTTCTATTGCCACCATATGATCATTATCCCTAGTCAACCCCTTTGAGCCTTTAGCCTTTCTTTGTTGGTCACCATATTATATGCCTTTAGCCATTTGATCATAATCCTCTCTTGGCACCCGAACCTTCCTTAGCACTCGTATGTATTAAGTGGCACATAGACTAAGTTTGGGGGAAAAGATGAGGAATCTAAAAAAAAGGTATCAAGGCATTGAAAGGAGAGAAAATAAATGATTTCCATGAAAGAGAAAGTAAGAAAAGAAAGAACAAAAATATAACACAAAAAGAAAATAAAAAGGGGAGATTGATGAAATTGAAGAGAGGAAATTATCTCTAGTATGAGCATCAAGGGAGAAAAAGAATGCAATGAACAATAAAGAGTGATGGCAAGTCTCTCTAACCCCCATGAAAACAAATGCCTCTAAGGGTTTGGCAATTGTGAGCCAAGAATTGCGATGTATAGTGCCTAAGAAAGGGTGTAACCACTTATATCCCATATGGTATCCTACCCCAATCCAAAAGCCTTTATTGCAATCCGATAGAAGTCCTATTTTATTTTGAACCGAGTAATCTTATATTAGTAGAGATTTACATGAGAGGAAAGCCTATGGTACTTGAAGCTTCACTTGTGACATTCCTTTGTGAGAGAAGAGTGAAACCTTTATTGCTATAGAAATTGAGTATTAAATCTTGAAGTGAGCATGGCAAATGGAAGGTAGAAGAGGAAGAGTTTGGAGTCCACCATGATTTACATAAACGAGCAAGAGTCCTTGATGAGTGAAGTCAATTCATGAAGCTCAAATGTCCCACTAGAGTTACATGCAAAGTTGCACATTTTTGGCACCTTATTGAGAATGCATGAGTATTGTGGGTAATTGTTGGTCCCAACTGAGAATAAATGACTTATAAGTGACTCTTTGAAATAAACTTTCACTAAGGGGAGGTGGGAACTACTCTAGTTTCTTGAGGACAAGCAAAGACTTAAGTTTGGGGGAGTTGATAAGTGTGGATTTTAACCACTCATTAATACCTTCTTGCTTTAGTATTTAGTCCGAAAGTAGTAATTTTTGTTTCCAAATCTAATGAAAATGTATGAATTGCAGGAATGCTAGAGGAGGTGAGCTCAATGAAAATATCTAACTCAAAGAGGAGATGTCCCAACTCAAATAGTCAAAGAGGAGAAGGGTGATCCAATAGCATTCCCTGGACGTTCTTTGTTTCCCTCGTATGCTGAATATTCCCAAGGGGTCCGGAACTTGATCACTTGGCACAGGCTGGAAGGGAATGCCCTCATGGGGTGTTTCCATGGCCGACCCACGATGGCATTATGCAATGTGTCCTGGTGCATGATATAGAATGTGGTCTCCAGTGTCACCCCACCGGCGAGGACGAGGAGTGTGATCTCTCCAGAAGTCCGCTCAACTACATTGTTAAAACCGGTTAGTGTGATGCAGCACGACCCTATCTTATCCTCAAGTCGCATCTGTACGAGGACTTGAGGATGGATAATACATGCTCTTCTTCCGCCGTCAACCATAATCCTCCTAACATCAGTATCAAGAATGAGTAAAGTAATAACAAGCGCATCATTATGAGGGAAGGTCAAACCATCGGCATCCGACTCATCGAAGATTATACTTTATTCGCGGTTGTCATACCGTTCGTGGGTGATCGATCTCTTGAGTTTGTGAGTGGTGGCGAACTTAATGCCATTGATGGAGGTGTCATCACTACCTCTGATAATCATGTTGATAGTCCGAGTGGGAGACGGTTGCTTTGGCGAGCCTAAGAGTTCTCGCCCCTTTGCTAAGGTGTTGCTGCCTTTGTTAGTGAGCAACCTTTTGAGGTGTCCTTGTTGCAGTAGAGTTTCCACTTCTAACCTTAGAGCATGGCAATCCTCTGTATTGTGTCCTCGGTCTTGGTGGAACTCACAGAAGGCGTCTGACTTCCTTGTGTTCGGGTCGGACCACATCTTTGGTGGACACTTCACCTTTGGTGCGATATTCTCGAGTGCATAAACCACCTTACTAGGTGACAAACAGAAGTTATCAGCAGATAGTAAAGTATCCATACCTCGGTATTTTCTAGGGATGTCTGATCTTGGCATGGAAGGGCCATCCTTGCGGTGAAAGTTGGGGGCGGGTGGCCTTATGTAAGGTTGATGTCGATATCTAGCCAATCGCTGCTTTGGAGAACCTCGTCATGCATTATACCTACGTTCCCTATTGGGTTCGGATTGCACTACGATGAGTCGTCGGATTGGCACATTGAGGTCCTCATCATCTGCTCTAACCTCGGTATAACAGGCATTATGGATCTCATCCCAGGTGGCCGGCGAATATTTCATCAATCGGCTTAGCTGCTTTCTAGTCAGCCTCAATCCTTCTCTGTTCATCCTATTCTGGAAGAATGGTACGACCATTCCTTCAGAGACATTCGGTAAGGTCATCCTCACTTTGTTGAACTGAGCTAAGAAGTCCCTCAATTCTTCCCCTAGGTATTATTTAGTGGCGAAGATGTCGTTTATCCATGTTTCAGCCTTCTTGGCCCCAGGATGTGTCTTTACAAACTTGTCCGCCATTTTCTTGAACATTTCTATGGAGTAGGTCGGTAGCTGCGGATACCACGTCAATGCCCCTCCTGTGAGGGTCTCACCAAATGTTTTTAACAAGATGGAGGACACTTCTTCTTTGGTGAGGTCATTTCCTTTTACTATGGGGACGTAATAGGTCACATGGTCCTCGGGATCAGTCGTCCAGTCGTAGATTCCAAGACACGGCGGCATCTTGAAAGGTTTTGGTATGGCATGATAAGTTGCTTCCTCCATGAACGACTATTCCATAAACCTACTGGCATCTCTTTTCAGTATCAATTTGGAGGAACCTGGTATCTTGTCTACCCGTTCTTGATGCTCTTTCATCTGTTCCTTAAGTGCCCTATTCTCGTTCTCCATTTCTTCCATTCTTTTTAACACTACGGAAAGGACATTATCACCTTCATTGTCAGTAGTTATATGTATTACCTAAAGTCGGAGGGTTTAGTTGGTCGTCCTGCCCATTCTTATGTTGGGTTATAGGGATCCTTGGGGTTTCCATGGTCGTGCACGAGGCCTGCTTGCTCATCACACTGACCAAAATGTCAGTTAGCCAAGCCTCTAGGAGCATTTTGATGGCGGGTGGTTCTCCTTCTTCCACGGACATGGAAGCTTATTTTTCGTTGGGTTTGGTTGTTCTACAGAAGTGTGTTGGCGACTTTCCTAACCCAGGGGATGTTGTGGGGGTTATTTCCTCATCTTGAGTTTCGTACCCTTCATTGATAACGCTTATTAGATTGAGCGGTACGTTGTCTGCAGCTCTTGTTCCTTTTCCTTGTTCGACCTTTCATTTATTACCTGCCATGGAATCCTTGTATTCAAAGAGAAAGGAGTAGCTTTACAATATGTTAGGTTAACAAGTTATGACCGTTGTACATCTAAATGAAAACTAATAGTTTAACTATGAAAACCTCACAGACAGCGCCAAACTGTATGACCCAAAAAATAGATTTGGGTTTTATACAATTAAATTACTAGAAAATCGGGATTAATTAGAGTCAATACCAATATTCAAGAACATATCTAACATTTTATGATAAATTTGTTTAAATGCAACACTAAAAAGGACAACTTTAGATAGTAATAAGGCAAGAAAGACCTAGAAATATAAATGATAGCAATAAAAGACAATAAATTACTTCAAAATAGTAAATGAGATAAAGAAAACCCGACAAAGAAGAGATTTTTGGATGTCTTTTTGACAATGATGGATGATGATGAGAAACCTTATGTTCCAATCCTTATTGGATTGGGTGAGAGGGATAAAAGAAAAGAACTGTAAAGTCAAGCTTCTTTTTCTATCCAATAACATGAGAATCTTGTATAGAGAATGTTGACGAAATTCTTTACCAAAGGTCCAATCCCTTTTCTAATGTACATCTTTTTCTATTTATAAGAGCATGTGTGCCACTAAACCCTAGAGAGTACAACAGAAAGGAATATCCATTAGAATATTCTTTAGGGAATTTAAATCCTAAAATTAGTCGTCACTTAATACCAAAGGCGGGTGCTCGTCCTCATCTTTTGTTAAGCCATTTCGGCCTTCGACAATGATTTATCTTCCAAATCAGACCTGGACCTTTTGGAGTTTGGTTGAAACGTCACAACCTTTAGAGGCTCTAGTGCCATTGACCTGGTCAAACATATAAAATGAAGTGTTTGCCTGTACAGTTAGTACCTTCGCTTGTCGAGGTCGTCTTCAGGGAGGGGCATGATAAGTGGATAATACCGATCATGGTCGTCTTTAGAGGTGAATGACGTGGTATTATGAGAGCCACATATTTTGAACTATTGTCATCTTAATTTTCCCAGGTGACCTTTGGAGAGAACCTGACGTGGATGAGATGTGACGTCATTCGTCATGATGATGTCTGTTCCCGATGAGTCGCATTAGAACTCACTATCCAGGGTACTGCGCCCTTTACGCCTACCCCTTCACCATTGGCTATTCTTTTCCTCTTCCCCCTTTGGTGGAGGAATTCTGCTTCCATTACCGGGGCTGTCCGGCCCAACTTGCACCCTTGGTTTACAAGGTTGTCAAGATGCTATCTAAATTCACCGAACTGGCCAATGTCGAGATCACTCTACGACATCTTGTGCATCTGTTCATGCCAAACTTTTATTGGGGTATAATGTTGAACATTTGCCTATATGGAAGTAAATCCATGGTTGTCAAGATGGACAACAAGTGTAGTAGACAGTTTTGGCTTGACTTCGTTTTTGTTAAGACCGAGCTTGTCGTGGCCGATGTCACAGACATCCCAGAGTCTTGGAACCATGAATGTAACTATTTTTACTTATCTTTATTTTTTTTGTAACCGTACGTTTTGACTTCGTGAGCTAACTCTTCTTGTTTTGCAGCTACTGCTCAGAGTCTTCAATTGGTGATGCAGCATGCTGATTGGGTTAGCTAGGTCCTTCCTGCACCGTTAGAATCAGAGATTGGTCGAGCTTTTGGCAGAAGTACAAACTGGCTCCCGCTCCGTAAGGTAATGTTGGTACATTGTTTTCAGATGGTGTTGTGTTTGTATTCGCAGATCTTTTTGTGCTCATCTTTATATTTCTTTCTAGGCCCCGCCAAGGAGGTTGCTAGAAAGAACATGGCGCTGACGCCTTCTTTCAGGAGAAGGAGGGGTGGTGCTTCCTCTACTCCTGCCCCCATTTAGACCGCTACATCAGTTCTTCCTTTAGCTCCCTCCTGTATTGAGGACGTGGAGCTTTCTCCGCGCGGCACTGACCTGAGGCCCAAGAAAAGGAGGTATATGGACGAGGGCAGGTATACCATCGGCGGTTGAATTTCTCAAGTCTCCCCTGGTCATGGTGCAAGATACTATGCGACATTGGTTGACGGAAGTGTTGGGATAACCTTAGAGGTGCCTATGTTAAAGGAAGCCAGTGTTGCCACTTCTTTGCGGTCTAAAGATAACGAGGCCGCCATGGGGACCTTTATCGAAGATCTCATACTCCTCGGGTGCGAGGAGGCTACATATGGTGAACTAGCTCGAGAAGCTCCCCATGCTAATAAGGGTAAAGGTAAGGTGCCCGCCGAATAGGTTGATGAACGAGCTAAACCTATCGGTGACAAATCTGATTCCGACATCATTCCTGAAGAACACGAGATGATTGACAGTGGGACAACTCAGATTGAAGTTAGCATAGAGGGGGGATCGAGGACCATCACGATCCAAGTGAATCATGACTTGCTCAAGAATACCAAGGATGTGGTTCAGGCATTTGGCCCCTTCTAGACTCTCAGGGATCTGAGTGAGAGTACTCTTTCCAAAAGTATCGCCGGTCTTGCTCTCAGGGTAAATCATTTCCTTTATCTTTCTTTCTCTCTATTTTTTTTTGCTTTAGCTCGCTTTCGAGTCATACTTTACTTACTCTTTTTCATTTTACGTGCAGACAGTTATCCTTGAGATTGAGAGAGTACGGAGAGAGAAGAGGCTGAAGGAAGTCTATAACAAAATGCTGACAAAGTATGAGGAGTTTCGAGGGTGGTATAGGGAGGTTGAGAGGCGGCTCCGTGAGGGGGGTTACATGCCCAAAAATAGACGAAGAGTTGCTCGTGTCCGTGGAGTGGATCAGCTCTCTTGAAGGGCCGTTAAAGAGAAAGGATGACGAGCTCGAATTGAGAAGGGGCAAAGAAGATCAATGTTGCGACCTCCAGAGTCGGGTCGACCAACTGCAAGATCAGATAAATGAGCGACAATTCAAAGTGGATGGGTTCAAGTGGGAGGTAGCTAGAAAGCAGCAGCTGATTGAGGAGGCCGAATCCTCCTAAAGACAAGCTCGGAGAAGGTCCGCTCTTTTAGAGTTGGCGAATAAAAGTCTCTATGCTGACCGAGATAATGTTCAGTCGACAGCTGACGCTAAAGAGCCTAGGCTCAAGGAGAGGATTGGCAAGTTGGAGAGAGAGAATGCCAAGCTGTATGAGCGAATTTCTGCTATGGAGGGCGAGAATGCTAGACTGCATGAATGTCCCTCCACTTCTCATGCCTCCGAGTTCCTATCCATTCCACGAGAGCAGTACGAAGAGTGTTCCTTGTCGAAGCTCGAGTAAAGGTGGTCCAAGATTTGGGTCAGATGGGCTTCATCTACGAAACAGCCTTGGAGGAGGCCCGAGTTAAAGCTAGCGAAGCTCAGCTGGCTTGCGGATATGACCCTGACACACCTCAGCCTGATGCAAAAAGTGATGATAAATAGGACCTTCTCAAGCTTTAAGACAACGCCTGGTGCGACTCTGCTTATAATCGAGGTGACGATGAAGAGGGCGGAGCGGACCAAGGCGAAGACAATCATTAGACATTCCTCCCTTATTTTGTTTAGCTTTTTGTACTTCTTTTCCCTTTTTGTTGTTGGCGTCTTCGTGCGCCTTTGTAAAGACTCTTATCTAAATATTAAACACTATTTTTTATGCATACTTTTTTTATCTTTTCATATTGTTTGTTTATATGCTTGTGTGCTTTACTTATGCA